CACCTAACTTCCAGCTTACAGGAAATATGTGGAAATAACACCATAAAGAAACACGCAAGTTCAGAATGTTGATGACTCTGTACAACTGCTGGCCCATAACATGGTTCAAAGTCTGGTAAGAAATGAGAGTTTTGGCAGGGTGCAGTGGTTCACAACTGTAATCCCTGCACTCTGGGAGGCCAAGGAAGGAGGATCACTTGAACTCGGTGTGGGAAACAGAGAGAGATGGAGTCCCTACCAAAAAAATTGAAAAATAGCCAGGCATAGTGGCACAGGCCTGTGGTCCCAGCTACTTGGGAGGCTGCGGCTGGAGGATTGCTTGAGCCTCAGAGGTCAAGGCAGCAGTGAGCTGTGATCGTGCCACACTGCACTCCAGGCAACAGAGCAAGAAACTCTCTCAAAAAAAACAAAACAAAACAAAAAAAAGAAATGCAAGTCGAGTCCACCGCAGACATGAATGCTGACTAGACCCTCGTTTGAAACAAAGACGCTTTGGGGATAACTTGGGAAATAACAATATAGACAGGGTATTAGATAACCCAACATAACCTGAGGGAATATTACTGTCTTAGGTGTGAAAATTCTCATTCATTATGTCAAGAACGTCTTTATCTTTGGGAGATGCATGCTTAAGTATTTAGAGTGTTATGTCACCAAGTCTGCAACTTTTAAATAGCTCAACCTGTCACACATCTATACAAATATGACAAAATGTTCACTGCTAGATTTTGAAATGTTTGTTTTACTACTGCAAAGTTTCTTCTGTATGTCTGAAAAATTCAATAATAAAAGCTGAGGGTGGAGGAGACAGCCCTGGCCTCAGGCAGGAAAACAGGTCAAAACAGGGCTCTGCTGCTCAGAGGCGGAGCCCACGTTGCCGGTCTCTTAGCCTCCAGCCCCTCTTCTCCGAGATGAAGGGTTCACCCAAGCCCACACTGTCAAATGGTAACTATAAGGCATGTACACACTGCTCTGAATTAGGTGGGGAATGGGATACAGGAAGCAACTGCAACACAATTAGCCTTACCTGCAGCCACAGGACTGTCAGTATCCAAATATTTTCAAGTAGTTCAGGGAAAAGCAGAATGTAAAACTTACAAGAAAGGGGAGAAGAGGTGATGCTTACACTCATATTAGAGTCACATCCTCAGGCATGACTGTCCACAGTAGTTACTAGGACAGTAGTTATGGCAGCAAAAATTGGGCAAACAACACTACCTGAGGCCTGAAACCAGCCCTACATCCCATCCCTGCTCATGTAAACTGCAGCAACAGTGAATAAAGTTGGTTCTTACTAATCCAGGAGCTTTCTGAACAAACAAAAGTAGTAGTTCCAGCTACTCTCCAGAAATCTCCCTGTACCACTAACTAGATTCAGCCTGGAGCAATAAAAAACACTTTCCCAAATGAACAACAGAAGAGAAACTATACTTCAAAAAATAGGTAAGTGCAGTCTTAGAGATGATCTCTCTCTTATCTCTGGCAGAAAATAAAATTTTAATAGTCAAACTGTATAATACCAGAAAAAAACTTCTGGAGGAATCCATAATGCAACGTCCTTGAAGTGGAATTCTAAAGAAAAAACATATGCCCTCCTTTAGCTGCCTTGGATAGAAGCAGGTAATAAAACCAGAGCAGACATACAGTTTTCAAAGATTTAAAGAGAGAGTGAAATGAAACTGCAAAAGACAGAACCAAGAAAGACGTGGTCCTCTGTGCCACAAGTTGTTCCCAAGAAGTCCAAAGACATTACTGAACCTGTCTTAACTACTTCAGATTTTCTCTCTGGAGAATTCACCTAAAACTGTAACTTGCTCAGTGCAACAAATGACAGTATTTAAGAAACTTCCTAGGCACGGAGAATTACTGTGAATGGTAAATATGAATTTGTCCTTTTGCAAATGTAGGGAGGCAAGTTTCCTTCCACTTGGACATATGTGAAATCCTACAACAGTCATCCACCTACGTCACCAGTGTTAGAACTCAGACACAGCCTCGTCACACTGAAGACTATGTCACATGGCAAGTTCTACTCCTTGAAGGTCTCAGGGACCTTTCTACAGCCAACAGCCCTCCTTCCCTAGAGCTCCTCTCAGTTCCCTGGTTACCTGACGTTTCCTCCAGCCTTCTGTATCCTCATCCGCTCTTCATACTGAGTTGGATTATGCTCTTTGCTGAGGCTTAAGGCTGCATGTTTTTGACTCTCCTCATTATAACGACACAAGATTGCCTAGGAAGATGGAGATCACAACAGTCATGAAATTCAGTGGGTCCAGCATCTAAAGGTACCAGTTGAAGAAAACAGTTAACAATGGGGTTTCACATTCAGCCTACTGCTGATAAACTCAAGTTCAGAGAATCAGACAGCAAAGAAGTGTCAAAGACACAACAGTCAGGGAGAGTTGCCCCCGGTTTTGGTATCAACTCTGGTGCAAACTCTGCTGAATGACTATAGCCAAGCACTCCCTTGGATGTTGTCACATTTGTGACATGAAAGGAAGCATTCAACAAGCATCAAGGTCTCTTTTGGCCTGGAGTTCTACAAGGCCAGAGACATGTCCGTAAGCCTACGGAAGGCAGAGGGCCAGCCTTTTGCATGCTGGCCAAGTGCCAGGCAGGCCTTCCACACAGCGCCTCCATGTGTCCTCACCCCTGCCAGGTTCACCATGTGTTTTACAGGAGGACACTGAAGCATGAGGAGTAAGTAACCAATAAAGTCACAGAGCAGAGCCAGGATTCAAATTTGGGTCTGACTCCTAAGTGTTATTTTATTTTTATTTTTTGCCAATTTTCCTCTTGCTATTTCTGAAGTCATTTGGTTTAAACACATGTGCACTAGGGCCAGTCTACTACAGGATCACCAGAATATAAACTCCACCAAGCAGGGGCTTTCATCTGCTATATTCCCAGCTATACCCCTAACAGGGATTATTTGATGAATAATCCCCCCAAAAGCATCAGGGGGAGGGATCTAAAGATGCTGCTTAAGTGGAGGCAGAGTCACTTGGTTCCTGTGACTGCTGAAGGCACAAAGAGGCTGGCTGAAAAAGTAGCAATGGAATGGAACATGTGTTCCTGATGCAGAGGAGGCAGGGTCTGCAGACTGCTTTCCACAGCAGCACCCTCTAGGCTTTACAGCATCCCCACGACTATCGCACCCTGGGCTTTCTCCCTCAGTCAGGGACTGGGCTCAGAGGATATAGGGCACCTCATCTGGTATTTTCTAGCTACAGCTTTTGAGTTACTCTGAAATCACAATAACTTTGAAAGGCAGGGGTTAAAACTTTTCATTCAACACTGTCTAAGGTCAGAGAAATGAAATAAAAGAATATTTAGGCTACTTGCATACTAATTACTTTCTGATCTACAGCATCACACACACACACACACACACACACACACACACACACACACACACTCACTCTCTCTCTCTCTCTCTCTCTCTCTCTCTCTCTCTCTCTCTCTCTAAACCACAGGTGGAAAAAAGAAACTAAAAAGACAGGATCTGGGTTTTAAAGCACAAGTCTACCACAGGGTGTAAGTCTACCCAGAGGACAAACTGCCTCTAGCTGAGCTGCTGTTCTCTTACCCAGGAGTTAAACTGCAGCAGAACACTGCAGCAACCCCAGAAGAAAGGTTTCAATGCAGACATCGTCACTTTAATCCTACTCAGCAAGTACTTCCTAAGGTCTTTTCCCCATAAAACATATTGTTATCTAAGTGAGTGGCTCCAGAGCCACATACCCGACTATCTCCAAGGTTGGCAATATAAAGAATGTTGTCTACAGCCAGAACGCACGTGGCAGTGGACCCGTCTTTCCAGGCAGGCTTCCTGGGGGGAAACACATCAGAAACACAGTCACCACCAACAGCCTAGCACTTTGAGACTAATTTCCAGAGCTGAATGGAAAGTATCTCATATTTCAAAATGGACCATCTCCCTGACAATTTTTTTTTTTCTGTTTTAGACTTAGTTAATGGTTGTAAGAGCTTACTCAATGCTCGGCACTTTTCAAACAGTGAGCATTAGTGTTAAACCAAATCAGAAGACTGAAATGCATTTAGGAAAACATGCACAGTCCACTCGAACTTCTTCATGAGGTTATACTTACTGGCTGGAAGCTTGTTTAAGGAACTCTTCATCAGTATGCTTGAAAGTGTCCAAAAGGCATCTCTTCACGGTTTTCTCTACACTGATGCCATCTCCTGTTACAGAAGGGCCAAAAGAAAACAATCTCTCAAGGAGGGAGGATTATCCTGCTCCCACTGTCATTTTGCTTTTGTAATTCCTGCACATCAACTGATTTCAAGCATGATTAAGAACAATCTCTATTTTTCGTTTTGAGACTGGGCCTCACTCTGTCACCCAGGCTGGAGTGCTACGGTGCAACTGTGGCTCACTGCAGCCTCAATCTCCTGGGCTCAGGCAATCATCCAGCCACAGCCTCCCAAGTAGCTGGGACGATAGGCGCACACCACCATGTCCAGATAGTTTTGTTTTTTGGGTTTTTTGTTTGTTTTTGTAGTGACGGAGTCTCCCTATGTTGCCCAGGCTAGTCTCAAACTCCAGGGTGTAAGTGATCTTCTGGCCTTGGCCTCCCAAAGTGCTGCATGAACCACAGTGCCCAGCCAGAACAATCTCTGTTTCCTCACCTATAACACAGTGCCATCTGAAGTTGTTTTTACAAGTTTTCCAATAAAGGCAAGACACTACTGGAACCCTAAGACAATTCACAAAAGGTGTCTATCACGTAGAATTATGAGAAGCGCCATTCTAAGACATACCTGCAGGGCCGCCACACCTGGAAGCCCTGGAGTCCACTCAGCCCCACCCTTTTAAGACTCATCGATGATTCTTTGCTAAAGCCAAAATGACACATCTGACTGCTTCACACAGCCGTTCAAACAGCAACAACCAAAATGAATAACTGATTTAGTTCTCAGTCTCACCTTTAGGAAATTTTCTGATTAAGTTTTGATGCAAATTCTGTGCAGCAAATTTTGAGGCTCGAATTCCTCCATGTCCATCAAATACAGCAAAATATGAAACTCGAGTACTGAAAGAATGAAGTGAGAGTTAATTAAATTCTCACAGCAAAAACCACACTTTTCCATTAAAGCTTTTAAATCTCATCTCAAAGAGTGAACATTAACAAGTCTGAGGAAGTCACACTGATAAGACCCTAGTCACACTGCTACAAATGGGGGGAAAAAGGCTTTAACATTAACTGAGACAAACATTTAAGTAACATTCACAGCATTTTTGTCTTTAAAAAAAAAAAAAAAACTTTTGTGTGTCTGTGAGCATGGGGAGTGTTTCCGGTCAAGACTGGAAGACCTGCTAGAGGTCTAATATTCTAAAAGAGCTGTAACACTTTCATAGCATTTTAAATTAAATGTTTAAAACTCACATTTGCTTCAAAGATCAAGATATGTTAATTCTGGTTTTTCACCGACAACACTATTTTATTCCATAACCTCATCTGTGTGTTAAATGTTTAAAACCAAATCTGTTCCTATTTAAATCAGATTTGGTTTTAAACATTAACACACAGATCAGGTTATTTATCGAAAACAGTCAAAAATAGAATCATGCATCACTTAACAACAGAAATGCACTGTTAGGTGATACTGTTGTTGTGTGCACATCATAGAACATATTTACACAAACTGAGATAGTGTAGCTTACTACACACCTAAGCTACATGGTAGAGTCTACTGCTCTTAGGCTAAACTGCAGAGCATGTTACTGCACTAAATACTGTATGCAGTTGTAACACGATGGTAGTATTTGTGTATTTAAACATACCTAAACATAGAAAAGGTACGGCAAACATGGTATTATGGCTGAACACGGCAGCTCACGCCTATTAATCCCAACACTTTGGGAGATGACCAAGGCAGGAGGATCACCTGAGGCCAGGAGTCAAAGACCAGCCTGGGCAACACAGTGAGACCCCATCTCTACAAAATTTGTAATCTTATGGGAGCACCATCATATATGTAGTCCATCACTGACTTGATGTTGTTATTCAGCACATGACTGTATCTATAAGAGCAGGAAGGATATTACAGAATTATTACTCAAATAAATTTTGAATACAGGTATCTCATTTTTAAAACCTATCTTACTACTATAGCTATTCCTATTCCCCTTTCAAGTTTTGCTAGAAAACCCACACATATGGAATAAAAGACATGAAATAAACTATTTCAAGAAGGAAAAAAAACAAAAATGCCTATGAGAAATGACATTTATTCTAGAGAGCTGCTTTTCCTTCAAATTTTTTGGAATGCCTTTTCAATTTAGGACATCCTGAGCCATGAGAAAAAACCTCACCTGCTTTGTAACTTAGCGCTGTTATCTTAATATCTGCTACTTGCAAGGCATGATTTAGTGTTCCCAATTAAATTTAGTCTCAAGGGATCTGCCTTCTTGGCTCCAGAGGTCCCTTTCCTGGTTTTAATGCAAATCCCAGGCTGGGTGTGGCGGCTCATGGGAGTAATCCTAGCACTTTGGGAGGTCAAGGCGAAAGGATGGCTTGAGCCCAGGAGTCTGAGACCAGCCTGAGCAACACAGGGAGACACTGTCTCTATAAAAGTTCAAAAAATTGCCAGTGTAGTGGCACATGCCTATGGTCCCAGCTACTCAGGAGGCTGAGGTGGGAGGATTACTTGGGCCTAGGAGATCAAGCCTGCAATGAGCTGTGATTGTGCCACTGTTCTCCAGCCTGAGCAGGAGAGTTAGACCCTGTCTCAATGGGCGTGTATATCATCCCCTCTACACATGATCAGCTGCTCTGCAGCAGTCATCACCTCATCTTCATGGGTGGCCCTTATCTGGACAAACGCTGTCAGCCCAAATGGCTCCGGCACACTGTATGTTAATGACCAACTGGTGTCGGTTAAAGCACATAATGCATGCATTATGAAATTCTGAATTATGCAACCTATGTAGTATGTATTATTAACTATGTACTATAATGTATGTTAACAGTCAACTTAATGTCCTACCCTCTGGTTACTTTTTCTCCAGGCCCAAGAGCTTATCCAGAAGGCTTCATTTTAGTTTGTACGGCTGCAGCTAATTTTCCATTGTCTGTCTTTTCCTTGAGATCATTTTGACTTTGTTTTTCCTTGGCCCTCATGATCTGAACAAGCTCTCCTTGATCACCATTCATACTCTAATTGGTGGCTTCCAACTCTTATCTTCTAGGTCACGGAATAAAAATATTCTCTGCCAGAAGCTGCTCAGTTGCCAGTAAAGAGTAACACATGCTGCAGAGCCACGCCACAGAGCGTCATCTCCCGCTCAGCAGGGTTGCTCAACCTCAACACTACTGACATTCCAGGCTGAAAAGTTCTTTGTTGTGGGGCTGCCCTGTGCTTCTAAGATGATCTCTACCCACCAGACGCTAGTAACAACTCCCTCCCGCAACCGTGGCAAAAATGTACCCAAACACTGACAACTGTCCCCTGGGCAGGGGGCAGAATCAACCCCAGCTGAGAATCACTGATGTAGAATCAAGTGATATGTTAGTCTTTCTAGTAAGTACAAACTCGCCAGTCCAAAATGCCAATCAGAACCCAGGAGACGTTAGTGCCAAACAGGCTTCCTACCACACAGAGACTCACATGAGGGACGATGGGGGCCTACACTCCTCGGTGATGTCGTTCAGGATAACGTGGGCATCCTGCATCTCCTCCCTCTCACCCTTCCGCTCAGCCACATAGCCCTTCAGACCAAAGATCACCGAAGAGGCTAAGGAAAAGAGAACAAAAAAGCCAATACAAAACTGTGCCCAACCCTCTGGAAACCCTAGTCCCAGAGCAAATGAGAGGGAACTATGACCGTTTTACTCAGCAATATCCTAATGGTGCAAACAAATAAGCAATACCCCTTACGGTATCGCCCAGCTGCAAGTCTATAATTAAAATCAGAGCACTGATGGGCAGGGTGAGCTCTAAGAGGTTGCACAGAGACACAAGAGAGGAGTCAGTGAGCGCAAAACACCTCTGTCTAGGGTATGAGTTGAAGTGCCAGGGCAAGGGATGTGCCCTGGGGATGTGCCGCTATCACAGAGAAGTAAGATTCAAATCGGGGAAAGGATTATGAGCAAATTTAGTCTTGTGATAAATAAGGACAAATGCAAGTCAACAGTTAGACAAATCCAAGTCAGTAGAGTTTGTCTCAAAAGCCCTGTAGATGCCCTGAAAATATGTATTTCCATGCTCAAGGCTGGTGAAGAATTTGAACAAATGGTAAGATCAGTTGCTTTTACTTCAACTGAGGAAGAAAAAGAGAAGATTCCAATGCAGGGCAGAGATCTATTTACATTTAATGGGTAGGCTCATTTAAACTCATTTTCTGATACCTAATACCAGACAAATAATAAAATGAACACTCAAAGAGCTGTCCTCTGGGAAGGGACAAGCCAAGCTGAAGAAAACATCTTCCCAGTAAAGTTACAAGTGGATCTTTTCACATACCTCTGCCTGCATCGTACAGCTTTCACCGAGGTAATTTGTGGCAAAGGACAATGCAGTCAATGAAAATTCCACAGCTCAAGAATACTTGAGTATCACAACTATTCTCTTTAGTTAATACTTTTTGTTTTCTTTCCCACTAACTTTGACAAGTTACAAAACTGACTACAAATTTCAACTACTTTTTCCAGGCTTAGGGAAGCTGCCTACCAAGCTAAATCACAGAATTAAAAGCACTAATCCACAAACTGTGAACAAAGACTGGAAATCACAGGGAGACTAGGTGGTCAAAAACTATTCACTGCAGAAGGCTAAGAAAAAAACCACCTGTATTTTGTAACTCTTGAGGAATAAATGTAGGTTTCCTATCTGAGCAAAGGGAGGATAAGAGATAGATGTACATGAAAAGTAGGAGAAAAAAAGCAGAAAGAAACTCGGAAATTCAATTGCAAAAAGGGAACCCTACTCATTTCTTAGATATAGATATAAAAAGAAAGTATTATTAGAAAGCTGAAACTGGTTTTGCTCTGGGTTGTTTTAAAATATGAAGTCTAATACATTTGTTTTCAAACTGTCTGAAAACCTTTACAAACTTTCTTTTCCACAAGCTCTTCACTGCCATTCTTCTCTTCCTCAGAGGTTTTTCTCTTTGCTCCTTTCCCTTCATTCTTTACCATCTGGGGTACTGATGTGGCAAGAGAACCTGGAAATAAAGTAAAAGCCGGACAGAAACACAGCTGTAGACTGTTGGAAGAAGTCACTAGCGTACTGGGCTTCATCCTAGCACTCAGACAAGGTCATTTCAAGCAAGGACTGGCAGACACAGGCAGACCCGGGAGTTGTGTCCTCATGGTGATGGGGGGCACGTTCCCATAGTGAGGGAGCATAAAGTTAAGATCCAGGCCCTGAATCAAACAGACCCTGCTGAAGGGGTCTGTAAAAGACTTTCCCAGTGGTAAAACACATGTTTTTTTTTTTTTGGCCCATAGCATATACATGTTTTTATATCCACAGGCTCTTAGTATTAAACAAAAACTTACAAAATCTATAAGTAAGCTAACATACTCTAAAGAAGTTCCAAAAAGAAACAAGTACCCAAAAAGGCTCAAAATGAGGTAAATTTCAGCCTTTAAGAACTGTAATACATCCGGGCCAGGCGTGGTGGCTCACGCCTGTAATCCAAGCACTTTGGAGGCCAAGGCGGGTGGATCACCTGAGGTCAGGAGTTCAAGACCAGCCTGACCAACAGGGTGAAACCCCATCCTTTAAAAAAAAAAAAAAAAAAACTGTAATACATCCTTTCAAAGGCAAAATAGGGTTGCCATGCTGTTCCCACTAGTGAAAGGATGAATCTCTACTCAAAGCCAGAGCTAAGGAAATCTGCAGTGTCTATGTGTTTGAAATGAGAAAAGTCAACTTTCAAAGAGGAAACAGCAAGTAATTTGCTAACAGTAACTTGTTAACAGCAAGTTACTTTCCTTTCAGTCTCAGTTGTCTTCACCCGTGCATAACGTGGTAAGAATACTTTCATCTCAGAGAGATGTTTGAAAATTGTTGAGGACAGGTAGGAAGAGCATTTATCACAGTGCCTAACACATCAATCTCCAATAATGGCAGCTATTGTCCTAACAAATGACTGTAAATGTTCTCTGCATTTAGGGATAAAAAGTATTTAGGTATAGAAGTATGCAATAGCCAGATGAAGTGGCACATTCCTGTAGTCACAGCTACTTCAGAGACTGAGGCAGGAGGATCACTTCAGCGCAGGCATTTGAGACCTGCGTGGGCAAAGCAGTGAGACCCTGTTTCTTTAAAAAAAAAAAAAAGATGCAAGTAGTTATTTACTTATTCAACCTCCTCTTTGCCAGATATTTCTTTTTCTTTTTGTTTTTTAGACAGGGTCTCACTCTTGTCACATAGACTAGAATGCAGTGGCATGATCATAGTTTAATGACAAAAAGTTCACGATTCAGATCCATAAGCCACCAATACCTCTATAGGACAGAAAGACATCCACTCAGTTGGTACGGTTCATAACTTGAGTTTTCCTTTTCTTTTTTTGAGATGCAGTCTTGCTCCGTTGCCCAGGCTGGAGTGTAGTGGAGCGTTCTCGGCTCACTGCAACCTCCACCTCACGGGTTTAAGCGATTCTCCTACCTCAGCCTACAGGCATGCACCATCACACCCAGCTAATTTTTGTATTTTTAGCAGAGATGAGGTTTCACCACGTTGGCCAGGCTGGTCTCAAACTCCTGACCTCAAGTTACCTGTGCGCCTTGGCCTCCCAAAGTGCTGGGATTACAGGCATGAGCCACCGCACCCGGCCACAACATATTAACTTTTATTACAACTAAGGGTACCATCTTTATGAGGAAGGTTTCAGGCTACACTGTGAGTAGGAGAATGCTACAATGTTTTTGTATGGGTCTACAGCCCTGAAGACGGAGAATTCTTATGTAAGATGACTGCAGTACATTTTCTGAAATGGGACTACCTGCATCCCCACTGCCCCACACCATCTATCTCCCAACTTCTCATAACCCTCACCTTCCCCCACCAGAGGAGCTCCACATAAGAAGTTCTCATGAGACAGAATCGTACCTTTGCCACGTTGGTAAGAGGAATCTCCTCTATTCTTCCCTCCTACTTAATTAGGACGTGAAAAGGAACATTTTCAGGAGAAGGTAGAGCCAATACTACTAGGCTTGATACACTTGGGTCAAGCACTTTGTTTAATGAGGCAAATCAGAATCACAAACTGAATTTTTAAAAAATGTTAATAACAAAGTTGAGAGTAAATCAGTGAACTCTTAATTCTCAAAGTCAGTTCCAACAACCTGAACCTCAACAAGTTAATATCACCAGAAAGTGATATAGTGTTATCTTTGTGCTTCCAATTGATGGTGCCTGTTTATAGTTTTATAGTAAACCTTATGCTGTATTATGACTTAATGTCATCCAAAATCCTGTCAAAATCTATACGTAAATTTCACATAAGAATGAAATACTGTGTATTATTTCCATCAGCACCTTGGGTTTTTTGTCCTACCACTTACCTGAATCACCACTGCTAGCAGGTGGGAGATCATCAAAAAGCAAAGGTCCCCCTGATCCTGAAACACAGCAGAACACTTAGTAAGCCCACAAAAAATAATGTAAGGCTTAAGTTTCAGAATCCATCCCACCAGGACACCTATGTAGGTTACTGAAATAAACTCAAAACTCTTGCGTCAATCCAGTGGCAACTCATACTGCAATGAATAATATCTTGAACCTATTTTAAAGTCGTATCATTTCATAGGAAATAAAAATCTGCCTTAAAAAGTTAAATTGTATTTCAGGTAGTAAAATAAATACTCAAAGGACCAGAGAAAACCGCTCCACATGTTCTGGCAGTACTTCTCAGGGCTGGCGACTAGCAGATTTTTCTGCCTTACCTGATCCCATGGATTCAAAACTTAAAGACAGTCCAACACCTAAAACATCTGTGTGTTGAAAATGGGGGAAAGGGAAAAAGATTGAGACAACTACAATCCCAGGATGAGTAGAGACGTTGACACACACCTGGGAGAGCCTGGAGACTGTACCTGAGTCAGTACTGCTGGCCGGAGGGAGGTCATCAAAGAGCAGGGGTCCTTTCTGAGCTTCTTTCCCTAAAACACAGAAATCCTGTTTAGAGAGCATATGGTCATCATCCAGGACAGATTTTCAAAGGAGAAGACCATGTGGTCTTCCTGCTTTGAGACAAGTTTACTACTAGATTCAAATTTTCTTCTTCCTGCTGGACAAACTTTTAAAAAATCTTTTCTTAACAGCTTTTTAATATGGACATCTGTTTCCAACAATTACAGTCAACATAAAAGCAATGAATGATGCCCTAACAGGTCATTGTCAGGGCCATTGAGTATTTTGAGGAAAATAAGTATTTTCTTGATAATTTCATTATTGAAAGCATCAAACATTTAAGTCTTTCTTTGAAATAGAATCCTTGGGAGAAAAAAAACTGATTCTAGACCAGTAAAACAATACTTGAGACTTCAAGACAGGAGTTCAGAAACTGGGCGAGGGGGTCTTCAAAGTTCTACAGGTTTATAAAAATCCTATTTTAGTAACATTCTGCTGGGGAAGAAAATCTGTTGTAACCTGGTGTCCCTGGCCCCAGCACAGTGCCTGATTCAATAAATAGCTATGGAGAAAATAAGGAGTTTCAGGTAATCAAAGACAGATGGCCTCAGAAGAAAGTCAGAAAACTCTTAACAAAAAATGTAAAGATTTCCACTCCAAAAGTAAATGTTTTATGCCTAATTATCTTTTCGCACATAAAATTTAACCACTATTCCTTATTATCCAGCTTTCCCTAAAATTCTATTTAAGCTATTAGGTATCTGAACTGGCACACAGGAATCCGAGTTGAAAGTATGCACATTCACCTCCTACGAAGTTCAACACACCAATCAAACACATGGGCTTTTTCTCACCTCTTATTCCTCACAGTTCGAGTATAAAAATGTACTCATTTAGGCCAGGCGTGGTGGGCTCATGCCTATAATCCCAACACTTTGGGAGGCTGAGGTGGGAGGATTGCTTCAGCCCAGGAGTTCAAGACCAGCCTGGGCAAGACGGCAAAAAAATCTCTACAAAAATTAGCTGGGTGTGGTGGCAAGCGCCTGTAGTCCAAGCTACTAAGGACGCTGAGGTGGGAGGATCACCTGAGCCCAGGGAGGCCAAGGCTGCAGTGAGCCATGATTGGGCCACTGCACTCCAGCCTAGGCAACATAATGAGACCATGCCATGTCTTTAAGGAAAAAAAAAAAAAACAAAAAAACCTCACTTAAAAAAAAATTTTTTTTTTTTTTTTTTTTTTGAGACTGAGTCTCACTCTGCTACCTGGGCGGGAGTGCGGTGAGTGATCTCCACTCACTGTCTCCACCTCCTGGGTTCAAGTGATTCTCCTGCCCCAGCTTCCTGAGTAGGTGGGATTACAGGTGCACACCACCACACCCAGATAATTTTTGCATTTTTAGTAGAGACATGGTCTCACCATATTGACCAGTCTGGTCTTGAACTCCTGACCTTAAGTGATCTGCCTGCCTCAGGCTCCCAAAGTGCTGGGATTACAGGTGTGAGCCACCACACTGGGCCTAATTGTTATATTTTTAGTAGAGATGGGGTTTCCCCATGTTGGCCAGGCTGGTCTCAAACTCCTAGCCTCAAGTCGTCCCCCTCCTCAGTCTCCCAAAGTGCTGGAATTACAGGTCTGAGCTACTGTGCCAGGCAAAAAACAACTCACTTAAAGAAATCAATTTATATCCCCCGAGAGGGTCATCCATAACATCTTTTTGCCTCCATTTAGAAATGAGCTAGGTATCAATTTTCTTCTTTTAAAAACAAAAGTTTTAATTACAATTTATAAACTCAAGGGAATGAAATTTCTCCTGGGGTGTTTGGGTGAGAAGTACCTAACACACACAATAAATTTCTGAGTTAACAAAAAGTAACTATTTTGCTTTAGACCCCTAATACAAATAGAAAAATGTATTCTAATCCTTCAGGATGACCCTAAACAAATTAAGGAATTGCAAATACTTTCATTTTTTTGTTTTTCTTACAAGTGACATAAAGACTATGAGAAGTATACAAGAAGCAGAATAAAACCATTAAAAAGTATCTAAGATGGCCAGGTGCGGTGGTGCACACCTATAATCCCAGCACTTTGGGAGGCCAAGGTGGGTGGATCACCTGAGGTCAGGAGTTTGAGACCAGACTGGCCAACATGAAACCCCATCTCTACTAAAAATCCAAAAACTAGCTGGGCAAGAGGTGGTGCACAACTGTACTCCCAAGCTACTGCGGAGGCTGAGACAGAACTGCTTGAACTGAGGAGGAGGAGGTTGCAGTGAGCCAAGATTGTGCCGCTGCACTCCGGCCTGGGCAACAGAGTGCTCAGTCTCAAAAAAACAAAACAAAAACAAAAATAAAAATTAGCTATTTGAGAGGCTGAGGCAGAATAGCTTGAACCTGGGAGGCAGAGGTTGCAGTGAGCTGAGCTAACGCCACTGCACTCCAGCCTGCGGGACAAAACCAGACTGTCGCAAAAAAAGAAAAAAAAAAGGTATTTAGGATAACCATTACTCGATTTAACCCACTTACAAGAATTCCTAATACCCAAGAGTAGGTCACTTTTGCCCAAACGACATTGGGTCTAACAATCAAAATGTCCATTCTCTGGACAGACTCAAAACCATGAGATGATGCAGACAATCGTGCTGCATTCAGCGGGGTCAGAGAGCCAGATGTCTTAGAACAAGGGAGGGGACATTTACGGATAACAGCCCAACCTGAAGCAGAACCAACCCTTCCACTTATGCCAGGTCTTTAATTTTTGAATTAACTTGCCCATGTAAAGCAGGTCTGTCCACTGTACACTGGGGGAAGTCGTCTTTTACCCAGGTAATAAATACACTTCAGTTCTTGCAAGCATTCCTCACAATGCAGCTTCCAGCTTAGTATTCATACTAGCCTAGCCCCCTCTCCTTTGGCTACTATTCAGTCAGATGGTGCCCCAAACTGAGCCCCATCCCCAGAGAACTGCCTAGCTCCCTGTGCTGCACAGAATGTGTCTATCACCTTCTTTCTCAATCTGGAATATTAGGAAAGCTATTTCAATTAAACACAGTGAGACCACCTTACATTCTGCTGGCCACAATTGGTAATGGCTTATAAATATGATGATACTGCGTGCCTGTCAGGCACTATTCTAAGGGTTCTATACATCTTAACTCATTTAATTCTTATGAGATAGGTACTATTATTATTTACTGATGAAAAAACTGAGGCACTGAGGTCAATTACCCATTCAAGATCACAGAGCCGATAAGGAGTGGAGTGGGGATTCAAACCCATGCAGTTCATGCTCTTAGTGAGATACTAGGCTGCCTCCATATATGGGCACCCTTTCAGAAACTTCACAAAGATCACATTTTATCCTTACAACAATCCTATGATAATCCCGAGATTCTAAAAATTCTGGAATACCTTTGCATCATCAAAATGATCTAACTTAGAAGTCTGCACATGGATTCTTTTTCTAAAAAAAATCTATAGGTCATAAATACTACATAAGGAAACTACTAATTAGCCAAATCTTCCATTCTTTTTTTTAATTGAGACAAGAGTCTCGCTCTGTGAGGCAGGCTGGAGTGCAATGGTGTGATCACAGCTCATTGCAGCCTAAACCTTCTGGCCTCAAGCAATCCTCCCTCACCAGACTCCTGAGTAGCTGAAACTACAGGCATGCACCACCATGCCCAGGTAATTTTTTAACTTTTTGTAGAGACGGGGGTCTATGCTGCCCTCAAGCAATCTTCCTATCTCAACATCCCAAAGTGCTGAGATTACTGGTGTGAGCCACTGCTCCTGGCCCTTACACTCTATATTGAATAAACTAAAATTCAAAGCACTGGGGACTGCAATCATTGGACAAAGTGTAACCCTGACCCAAAAATTTGGAAGAGGCCCCTTCCCCAATCTTCTAAATATTAGAACGTTAATGAGAATGAAACAGGACTAAAAATGTTTATTAATCATAGTTAATCTCACCTAGACTTTTTTTTTTTCCAGCTATCAACATTCTGGAGCTAAGTCTACCTGAAGTTACACACTATGCTGAGAAAAATACCCTTGGGTTGATCATATTCGGGTTAAAGGTTTCTATATCTAATAAAGTTGGAAAAGGGTGTTAAAATATTTTGCCTAAATTGTTTTTTATACCTCAGTTTTCTTTTCAACTATAAAAGAAATCCAAGTGTTTTCCAAACATCACACAGGTATTATCAGAAAAAAGGGGACAGGGGTTCTACCACACTCCCCAACCACAGTATCAGTTTAGTGTATATTTTCCACTTTCCTTAATGCTCGTGTACATGAATGCATGCATTTTAACATGTAGAAGACAGAATCATGCTCTACACAATACTCTACATATATTATTGTTCACATAACCCATCAAAGCGTGCTCCAGGCCAACACACCCACGTCTAATTCATTCTCTCCAACAGCTACATATGGGAAGCATCTCCACTCACCTGACCAGTGCCTTACTGATGGGCATTAAGCTTTTTCCAGTTCTTCACATGACAAGTAATGCCACTATATAATAAACAACCTGACACATATATTCTTGCTTAATCTGATAGACTGCTAGTCAAAGGATATTAGTTTAAATCTGATAGAAGCCAAAATTTGTTCCCCAAAAAGCTGTAGTGACGTTCACTCCCAAAACACTTTATAAGAATATCTATTTCTCTACACATTCACCAATGTTACCAATTGTTGCTAATCTGATAGGTGAAAAGGTGATCTGACATTCCTTTCCTCAGTAACTAATTCCTCAGCAACTTTTTGCTGATGGGCCATCTGTATTCCTTCCCTCTGAACTGGTAGGATACATCCTTTGAACATTTTTCTAGTGGGTTTTATTTTTTCCTATTAATTTCGTGAGCCTTTCACTTACCCTTAGTAATGTATATTGCAATTATTTTCTGTCTTTTGCCTTTATAATATTTGTCCTGCAGAAATTTTAAATTTTTACATAGTTAAATTCACTTTAGTTTTTTGACTTTCTTCTTGTTAAACCCTGTAGTTTTATAATTAATCTGTTTTCTTCTAATGCTTAATTTTTATTTTATGTTTAAATACCCATTATTATTTTTAATTTTAGAGACAGAAGTTGCACGAGGCTCTTGTCAAATTCCTGGCCTCAAGCCATCCTCCTGACTCAGCCTCTCAAAGTGCTGGGATTACAGGTATGAGCCACCAAGCCCAGCCTCCAGTTTTTTTTAAAGTATTTTTAAGATGGAGTGCCAAGCAAGTATTTTATTTAGTCCTTGACAAATGACCACTAATTTTAAATGGACTGTTGCAGCAACCAAATAAGTAACAGAACCACCCTATAACCATGAAACCAAGTTACTGCTGAAGTAATTTTAAACCATGACACCTTTAAATGACATGTGTGCATTGTCAGATATAAGCTGTCAAGCTTAAAGACATCAAGTCAACATTATTTATGGGTATGACATAGAAAAGTGCCATTTCTGCCTGATATGAACCAACACTTTTTTAGGTTTTATATATATGTATATATACACACACATATATATGTATGTATATATAACATATATGTATATATATACACATGTGTATATAAGCATGTGTATATATATGCATATACATGTGTATATATATACATACATATATATGTATGTATCTTTTTAAAAAAATTTGATTCACTCAGCAATTAAAACTTTTAAAGGCCTCTATGAAAACTACTAATTTTAGCACAATACCTGAAATATTGAGTGCATTCTATATATTTTTCTAGATTATAAAAATTTAAGAGGTTTGGGGGTGGGAACATTAGATGTAATATTTAAAACAACAAAATCAAAATATCTATATAAAATATTTAAAAATTTGATGTGATCTAAGAAATGTAGTATTTTCTCCCTTGGACACTTAGTGCTTTCATAAAATTCATTTAAGACTGCATTTTTCTACTTTTAGAAGACTGTTAATGGCTCAGCCAGGCACAGTGGCTTACACCTGTAATCCCAACACTCTGGGCCAGGATGGGCAGAACACTTGAGCCCCAGGAGTTCGAGAGCAGCATGAGCAACATCGCAAAGCCTCCTATCTACAAGACATACAAAAATTAACTGGCCATGGTGGTGCCCACCTGTAATCCCAGCTGCCCAGTTAGCTGAGGGGAAAGATGGTCTGCGAGATTGAGAGAGGTGAGCTGTGTTTGTGTCACTGCACTCCAGTCTGGGCAACACAATGAGACTGTCTCAAAAATAATTAACCATGGCTAACATCTATAAAACACTACAGGTTCTACCACACACTATGTTCCACAGCATACATATTATACTCTTGAATTTGTACGGTAACAGTAGGAGGTGTCACCCCTTTTTACAGATGTACGAACAGCCATAGAAGGCAGAGGGAGTAAGAGCTGGATTCTAAACCAAATAGTCTGATTACATTTCCTGAACAACTATTTTTGCGCTCTGTGAAAATAACTAGGTCTTTTATTGTTCACCGCATCAGCTCAGAGATTTGTGGTACCCACATACCATGTTTGAGGGTCATGATGCACCGTTTAGATTCATTATTCCACTCACTGTAGCAATCAATATCATTTATCAAACAAAGTAGTGCAATTTTTTTTAAAAATCACAGTATTTTCACAAGTATGTGAAACCAGATTCTGTTCTTGCACAAAAGATTTTTTAACTTGTCAAATCTCATTGTTGGTTGTAGCTAACTTTGGATCCCAATTCTGTCACTCACTTTAGTACTTATCCCTCTCAGCTTCCAGTCATCTACAAATTTTGGTATCTTCCTCGTTTTAAAGCTACTTTTAAAAATACACTCAGCAAGCAGGACCTGTTGACAGTGTCAGTGCCCTCCCGGCAGACGGGGAGCAGGTGACCAATCCATTCTCAGGGGAGTTGGCAGTTTAAACACCATGCAGCCCCTCTGCCACCCTTTCAGCTCAGTCAAGGTTGGAAACTGAGTTTGGAAAAAACAGCAACAGGATGTACTTTTCCCATTTTATGTAGCGAAAGGCTGCTAAGGTGTCAACTTATGAGATTTTGAGTTGCCACGTTTCTTGTCAGTCAAGGAAGCCTACCCCTGAGCAGAATCTAATTGCAGGTAAGAAGTAATGGAGATTTAAAAACTCATAGGTTTATAGGCACATTAGTGAATACAAACGCTGCCCCAAATATATTCACATAGAAGTTAAATTCCACTGACAGAGAAAAAGACGGCTACACAAAGCCAATTTTTACCCACAGCTAGAACTGGGGTTATTCTGAAAATGAATGGCTGAGTCAAATCCAAAGACTCCAGGACCAGTTACTGATATACTCTGTACCATGAGAATGGTCAATGGGGGCCGGGCGCGGTGGCTCACGCATGTAATTCCAGCACTTTGGGAGGTCGACGCGGGTGGATCACCTGAAGGAGTTCAAGACTAGCGTGGCCAACATGATGAAACCCCGTCTCTACTTAAAAATACAAAAATTAGCTGGGTGTGGTGGTCGGTGCCTGTAATCCCAGCTACTAGGGAGGCTGAGGCGGAGGGTGCAGAAAGCTCCAGCCTGGGTGACAAGAGTGAGCCTCCGTCTCAAAAACAAAAATAAACACCATTTTCTTGCCCAGAATCACTGCAAATCACAAGCCTGCTCATCCTCAGCAGCTCAGTTCCAACACTGCCTCCTTCCCCAGGCTCTTGGTGCACGACAATCCCTCCTGAAGAGTCCTCGCCATTTCCCACAGTCATTAACTTTTGCCAGTTTTAATTACCGTAATTACTAGCCTTCAGAAAGCAGCTCTTAGAAAGCGAAGGCTGGGCCTTACCTCTATCTGCCCCACAAGAGCAGTTCCCAAACCGTTGGTCTCCAGCCCCCGCTCGGTGGGCCTGGGGATTTAGTAACATTCGGAAACCCCACCCTCAGGGATTCGGATTTATTGGGGCTGAGGTGGACCTGGAAATCTGAATGTCTTCAGTTTTCCAGGATTTCTGCCCCCAAGTTAGGTTTGGTAATAAGGCTCTAAACTACAGCATCTAGCTGAAGTCTCGCATGTGAAATATTCACGCATTCTGCCAAATGAAATCCGGAGTGGCGGTAACCCACGGGACGCAGAGATTAACACAGGCCCCGTTTCACGCTGTTAGGATGCTGCGCTCACACCGCAGCCCACAGGGACTCCCACCAGGGAACAGGGCTTAGCAGATGAGCCGTCCCTTTAACTTCAGGGAGAGGGGAAACTTCCCGCAGCCCAGAAAAGAACAAAAAACTACTGTTAATTATCACAAAATCGTAGGATGGCAGAGGAGGCATCCTGTCTTCCAGGCTTCAGAAACACGAAGGATTAAGATGGTGATTAATTCAACCTCCCGAGCAAAACGGAACGCCAAGCCCCTGAACGCGCACCCGCCGGGAGCGCAGCCGTCCACAGCCCGCGAGTGAAGCGCGGCCCGGAAGTCGCGGGCGGGCGGGCGGCGCGCAGGGCTGCCCCGGCCGCGGGTGGAATTGCGGCGCGGGGGCCCGCGGGGCCGCTGGGCGCAGAGAGCTGGTCCCTCCGGCCGGCCCACGCGGCCGCCCCGCGGCCGTCCACCGCCAGGCAGAGGGTCGTGGCCAGGGCGGCGCAGCCCTTTCCTTCCTGCGTAGCGAAAATGGCGGAGCGGCCTTTCCGAGCTCCGCGAACTACCGGGCCACCCGGCGGGGCGGCCAGCGAGCCGGACAGGGCCGGGCCAGGCAGAAACAGGCCCCGTACAGCCCGCGCCGCCCGTCGCCTCCCAACGCGGGCGCCGCCTCAGCCGCCGCGGGCCCCAGGCCGCCGCCATCCCGCCCGCCCTCCTTTCCCTGGTCCGCCCGGCGGCAACGCCGCTTACCGGCAGCCGGGCGCGGCGAGCGCTCGGGCTCCGGCAGGTCCCCGAACAGGTCCATGGCGGAGGCTGGGCGGCGACGGCGGGAGCGGCAGACGCGCAGCCCGCGAGCGGAGGCCGGGCTCCACACCCCGGGCGGGCGGCGGCGGCGGCTGGCGGGCGACGGGCGCGGGTGGTCAGCGCCGTCAGTCACCTGCAGGGAGAGCCCCGGACGCCACCAATCGGCGCGCGGCGTGGCCCCGCCGCCCCAGAGGGCTGCGCGCGGGCGGGGCGGAGGGAGTAGGGAGGCGCGCTGCGCACGCGCGTAGGCTCCTCTGGCGCCAGGACTGCGAGCGCGGCAGGCGGCGTCGCTTGGGCTCCGCGGTGTTTCCCGCCTTGGCGACTCCCGGGCCTCTCCTGCTTTTCCTTGGCGGGGGATGTCCGGTTTCCGTCAAGTTTCGTTGAGTTCCTGTCCGAGAAGGCCTGTTCAGAGAGAAAGGTCCGAGCTCAAGGGCAGCCCCTGATGGCTGGGAAGGCTTTGGGGCTCTTGCCATCTCTTCGGCTCGTTCTTTAACCACGGCGTGCCTGTTCCTGGCCTGTTTTACAGCCTGAGAAACCGAGGCTTGGATGGAGCGCCCCTGGGCGTCAGGACGGAAACCTCAAAAGATGCCGGCGGGAGAGGAGGCATTCCCCGATCTGTCTGCACCCACCCCCACCCGGTCCCTGTGGGGAGCGGAGAAGACCGACTCCTTGATGGCGCTCCCTTCTATGCCTAGAAAGAAAGACGGCTTCTGACATCGGGGGGCTGGCCTGGTTCTGCAGCCAGGACTTGGGTTGGTCTGGCACAAAAGCTAGGCCTGGGTGTTCTCTTTGCGAGCAATTTCATAAAACACCAACATCAGGCCATGATACAGAGCAAGACAAAAAAACAGACCACTCTGTAATCAAGTCTGACGTAGACAAAGCAGAAACACTGTCCAAGCCGCAAGAGTGACCAAAGTTCCCTGGTGACGGCCAATAAGAGTGATTGCTGCCTCTTGACCTGTTACACGTTTAGCATTTGTCCAGTCTTCCTGCCATGTAGATAAGCTTCATCAAGATACCCAATCATGGGATCACCCCCTCTTCCTGACATCCAATCTGGAGTAAAGCCCCGTTTCCATCAACATTTCCCCAAGCCAACTAACACAAACCCAAATCTTACACGTCCTTTCCAACACCCTCTACCCAAGCTTCTCAGGTTATGTGGTCTCCCTCCATGCAGAGAGTTAAGCCCAATTCATTCCAGGACAGATGTGTTTCTGGCACTGGGCTGTAGGACATGGAGGGAGCCCAACAAGGCTTCATGCCGCTCATCTACTGGCTTCTCACTTGCAATTCTGAGATCTTCACTGCTACCTCCTTCATTACAGCAGAAACACTCAAGTAACAATACTTGTAAGAGTTTAAGAAAGAGGAAAGGAACACGAAAAGCAGCTCAACAGTCAAAGACTGGTTTATTTCAGAGAATAAACCTGAGAGAGTATTCTGGCCAATTTCGGTCAGGAGTGTTCTCTCTTACAGACTAAGGATATTTAAGGGTTTTGGAAGTGGGGGAGCTTATCGTAGATTCGGACTGTTTCTAGGTGAGGGAAAGTTTCTTGCAGGGTTGGAATGTCTGGTCGGAAGGGAGGCTTTTTCAGGGTTGGTATGTGTCTGGTCAGAGAGGGGTTTATCTTAGGGTTGGAATGTTTCTGGTTATGCTGACATTAGCCATTAAGCTGATATTTGGGGGCAGATTTAGGCAGATTTTTGTTTTTTTGTTTTTTGAGACAGAGTCTCACCCTGTCACCCAGGCTGGAGTGCAATGGTGTGATCTCTCCTCACTACAACCTCTGCCTCCCTGGTTTAAGTGATTCTCCTGCCTCAGCCTCCTGAGTATCTGGGATTACAGGTGCACACCACCATGCCTGGCTAATTTTTTCATTGGTAGAGATGGGATTTTACCTTGTTGGCCAGGCTGGTCTCGAACTCCAGACGTCATGATCCGCCCTCTAGGCAGTTTTTTTAATCAAGGGGAATTTAAAATGGTGGTGTTTGTCCAAGATGGCTATGCTCCTGCTCTGTCAATCCAGTTTTTATAGTTATAAAAAGGACGAGGAGCAGGGTGTTTTTTGTGGCTACTTCCTGCTGAGGAGCATGGGCCGAGAGTTCTTTGGTTTCAATGTGATTGTAGGAATAACGCCATCTGTAGATATTTTTTGGGTAATTGTCTCTGAGATGGCCATGATCCTATTTTTTGGGTAATTGTCTCTGAGATGGCCATGATCCTGTTGGTTAAAAATCTTTGAAAAAGGTTAATTAAGCAGAGTAAGAACATTATTCCTAGGCATATTTTTAGGGGCTGGCCCAGAAATGGGATGACCCATGTTAAGATTTTGTTTTTAAACTGAGAATTTATTTGGTTGTCTTGGTATTCTCTTAGGTTTTTAGCCCTTTCTTTAAGTTTTTTAGCAGTGTCTCTTACTAAGGGCAATTCGTTGGGATAGAAGCAACATTTTTTACCCAGTGAGAGGCAGAGATCCCCTTTTTCAGTCATTGTAAAATCGAATTCCCATCTATTTTGGAGGAGTCAAGGAGTCTAGTTTGTCTTGGACTCTTATAAGTCTTTGGGTCATATCTTCTAATGATCTCTGCAGTTCTGTTGAAAGAGTTTTAAAGCATGTTAAGGAGGTGGCCAATCTGCCTGCTCCGATCCCAAGCCCGGAGGTTATATGTAAGACAGTCATTAAAGGAATGAGGTGGATGGCCCTCCTCTTCGTAACATATTGGTTGGCTGGAACAGGTAAAGATTGATTAGGAGGGGCTGGGCACAGTGACTCATACCTGTAATCCCAGCATTTTGGGAGGCCGAGGCGGGCAGATCATGAGGTCAAGAGATCAAGACCATCCTGGCTAACACGGTGAAACCCCATCTCTACTAAAAATACAAAAAATTAGCTGGGCGTGGTGGCACATGCCTGTAGTCCCACCTACTCGGGATGCTGAGGCAGGAGAATCGCTTGAACCCCGGAGGCAGAGGTTGAGCCGAGATCCTGCCACTGCACTCCAGCCTGGGCAAAAGAGCAAGACTCCGTCCCAAAAAAAAAAAAAAAAAAAGGAATGATTTGGAGGAACTCGTCCAATGGAGGGAGAAAGGTAAACTAGGGCCCAGGTTCTGGTCCAGCTGGTGGGGAGACAAAGATACATGTTGATACCAAAGAAAAAGAACAAGGCTTTGTCGTAAATACAAGCGGAAATATGGAAAGAAAATAAGTGAATTCAAGATGAGGTGTTTTTTCTTTCTGTGATTCATTACTCCCATGGACATGAGCCATGGAAAAAGGCGGCACTAGGGGCAACAGGTGAGGCCGGAGGCACTGGCTGAGGGAGGGGCTGTGAGACATTTCTGTAAGACAGAAATGCTGCCTTTGCTTCAGGTCATACTTGGTAGTCGACCTGGTTAGCTTGATGGTCAGAGGGGTGTTTAACAGTGATAGTGGCATTGTATTGGTTAGATATCAAGGACCCTACAGGGAAATTTCCCTTGGAGGCTGAAAAGCAGAGTGGGGCTTGGTGTAAAAGTGGGGGGGGGGTGTTTAGTTATGGGCCCTTCAATGGGAGGGCTTTGGGGCTTAAGGCATTGTAGGGGGTTGTAATCGGTTGGAAATAATTTGTTGGCCTGATTGGTTGGAAGTAGAATAATCGGCAACCAAAGTGTCAGCTCTTTGAAAAAAGGAAGCTCCTTTTTGGAGCTTATACATTGGAGTTATGTTTCCTGTTACAAGGTCATGCAGGAGAGTAGGAAGAGCTGTGTGAGCTGAGGAAGACAGCAGTAAGCAGCCCAGCGCTCCAGAGGAAGCGTTAGCCTGCAGCGAGAGACTGTGTGAGGGTGATAGAGCATTCTGGGTTGAGAGCAGTGAGGAGTGGTTGTACTGGAGAGGTTGATGTGATTAGGGAATTTATGCGAAAGAAATGGACAAAAAGAAAAAAGTTACTTGGTAGGAGTAAAGTGCTGGAAAGTTCCTTGAAGCTATAGGTCCCACAGAGCAGTCAGGAGCTGATCAGGATGTATAATGGGAACTTCTCAATGGATTTCTCCTCCTTTTCCTCCAGGATTTGGGTGAGGCAAAGGGAAGTAGGTCCTGTGGAGACACAAGAGAAGGCTGAAGGGGGTTTAGATTTCGTTGTTTGGGTATGTGGTGAAGGGAAGTCTGTCTTCCTGTGAGAAGTATGAGACCAGTTGGGGAGTCCCTGGAGCTTTGCCGCGTGGGTGTGGGAAGGATGATCTGGTAAGGGGGTTTGGGGGGAGGGCTGGGATCTTTGACCAGAACCCATTCTCCTGGCTGTAGGAAGGGATTAGAGGAGTTGTCGACAGGTTGCGACAGGTATTTGTGAGTATATTCCCAAATGAAATGGCGGATGGTATGCGGAAGAGAGGAAAACGAGGGGCTGGTAGAGGTGGGGCTTGACCCTGAGGTGGAGCAGAAGGGGCGAATGGTCTCCCATCACAGAGTTCAAAGAGGCTGAGCACTAGAAGTTTACGTGGGAGCGCCCGAATCTTTAGAACGGCTAGAGGCAAACATGTAACCCGGTTTTTCTGTGTTTGGAGTGAGTACCTGGTGAGGGTATTTTTCTAGAATGCCATTCAGCCTTTCCTGAAGATTGCGGTCAGTGGGGGATGTGTGGCTTCCAGGTGATTCTTAGGGCTTGTGCAAGTGTTGGAGTAATTTGAGAAATGAATTCAGGACCATTATCAGATTGAAAAGAAAGAGGCACCCCGAACCTGGGATTGATTTCTGTTATGAATTTGGAAGTGACAGTAGAAGCTCGTTTGTTCGTTGTGGGAAAAGCCTCGACCCACCCCGAAAAGGTGTCAGGCAGCACCAAAAGAAATCGAACCCTTTTTACTGGGAGCATATGGGTAAAATCAATTTGCCAGTAATGTCTGGGAAGATGTCCTCTGGCTTGATGGGTTGGGAAATAAGGGGGTCTATAGTTGGTGTGGGGTGGGGCTTTTTGGCAAATAGAGCATTGATGGGAAATGGCTTTTAACTGTTCCTTGATATCTGGGGTTATATGTATATGGCAACTTAAGGATGTTGTTGAGGGGAATGGCTTATGTGGAAGAGGTTCTGAATGTCCGATGGAAGAACTGTTTTTTCAGGGTCAGGTAGGACTAATTTGTTTTGTGAGCCAGCATGGGAGTTTAAATCGTGTCCCCGGCATGATTGGGTATTGTGTTTGGTGTTCTGG